AAGAGTTACAGCGAAAAGGAGAGGAAGAGAGCTTCCATCTGCTGGTTCACTTCCCAAATGGCTGCAACAACCAAGGCTGGGCCAGGCAGGCTGAAGCCAGGAGGTAGGACTTCCTGGTCTCAAATAGGTGCCAGGGCCCAAGGACTTGGTCATCTGCTGCTGCTTTTCCAGGTGCACTAGAAAGAAGCTGTATCAGAAACAGAGCAGCCAGGACTGAAACTAGTGCCCATATGGGATGCCGGTGCTGTAGAGAGGATGCCTTAAACCACTACGCCACAGTGCTGGCTCTCAGGACATATTCTTTTATCAAGCACACTCAGTTACCTGTAGGGGGCCTGGATATACTGTTTCTGTTTTTTAAAAGTTTCATTTTACTCATTTGAAAGGCAGAGTTTTACAGAGGTTTCACTCCCCAGATGGCTGCAATGGCCAGAACTGTGCTGATCCCAAGCCAAGAGCTTCTTCTCGGTCTCCCACGTGGGTGCAGGGGCCCAAGGACTTGAGCCATCTTCTGCTGCTTTCCAAGGCAAATCAGCAGGGAGCTGGATGGGAAGTGGAGCAGCCAGGACTCAAACTGGCACCCCTATGTGATGCTGGCACTGCAGGCAGCAGCTCTACCCACTATGCAACAACACCGGCCCCTGAGTTTACTGTTAAAACTAATCCAGCCCTTAGTTATGGGCTCTCACAACCACCTTGCAAGGTACAATAACTGCAATTTAAACGTAGTTCTGACCCTAAGAGCCTTCCTAACTAATCTTTATGGACAGATGAGCTGGATATAAAAGGCCTCTCAAGTAGGGTAAGTTACTGAAGATAAGTGTAGCCTGCAGGTGTGAATCCTGCACGTATATGCTGTTAACCAGAAGATAGAAATTACGGAACGAAATTTTGGTCTTCAACTTCATAAAAGTTGGCCCACAGTACAAGAGAAGGCTCTGGTCAACACGGTCATAGTTGCTGTGCATAGCCAGAACCAATATCCCAAATTTCTCAATGTTTCTATATCAAATGTCAATTTTTATTAAGCACAGACTAATCTTCATGAAATTTCCAATGAATTTCAAACTTTAAAACAGGCCGAGAGAGGCCGGTGCTGTGGCGTAGTGGTTAAAGCTGCTGCCTGCAGCACTGGCATCCCATTGGGCACTGGTTCTGTGTCCCGGCTGCTCCACTTCTGATCCAGCTCTCTGCTATGGCCTGGGGAAGCAGTGGAAGATGGCCTGCTCCTGGCTCCAGATTGGCCCAGTTCTGGCCATTGCAGCCATTTAGGGAGCAAACTGGCAGATGGAAGACTTTTCTCTCTGCCTCTCTGAAACTATGCCTTTCAACAACAACAAAGGCCCAGAAAATGGCATGGTACTTGAGTAAAGGTCTAGTATCCTGGTTACAAATGGTTATGATTCTTTCATTTCAAATAATGTCATACAATTTCAGGACAGAATGTTTACTATTAAGTAACTAAGACATTTCTCCACTCTCTAAACTTTTTAAAAAAAGATTTGAAAGAGTGACAGAGGAAAATAGATCTTCCAACTGCCTATTCCCCAAATGTCCCCTAAAGTCCACAGTGAGAGCTGGGCCAGGCCAAAGCCAGGAACCAGGAATTCCACCTGGGTCTCAGGAGGCTGGCAGAAACCCAAGTCCTTAGTCCATCACCTGCTACCTCCCAGGATGCAGCAGCAATAATGCTACAAGTGCAGTCGCCAGGACTTGCCAGTGCTTCATCATGGATGTGGATGTCCCAAGCAGTGGCTCAACCTGCTGCACCCACAATGCCTGCTATAGAACCCGTTTTTTCTTAATGCCTAGAGTTGTAATCAACACAACATTTTGCTTAAATGTGGTTGGAGTAGCCTCGACCTCAGTGCACCAAACATCTTCCAGGTATTTGTTTTTGGACCCCATCTGGGCCCAGTGAGAGCAATTAAGAACACACATTTGACACATGCCATCAAGTAATATGTTAGAACTAGACACTCTGGCCACATTATGTAAATGCACCCAATTATTAACTTACCGCATGTGACTTTTTGTTCCTTCAGTCTCTTCCATTAAAGCCATTCGTCACATTTCCTTTTCAACATGTTTCCCTTTGTTCCACGAATAGTCCTCAATTACCTCTTAGGCATGAAACATGTAACTCAAGGGGCAGTTATAATCACAGGGAGTAGATCAGAAATGGGTCTAGGCCTGCTCCGCGGCTCACTAGGCTAATCCTCCGCCTTGCGGAGCCAGCACACGGGTTCTAGTCCCGGTTGGGGCGCCGGATTCTGTCCTGGTTACCCCTCTTCCAGGCCAGCTCTCTGCTGTGGCCAGGGAGTGCAGTGGAGGATGGCCCAAGTACTTGGGCCCTGCACCCCATGGGAGACCAGGAGGAAGCACCTGGCTCCTGGCTTCGGATCAGCGCAGTGCGCTGGCCATAGCAGCTGTTTGGGGGGTGAACCAACGGAAGGAAGACCTTTCTGTCTAACTCTGCCTGTCAGAAAAAAAGAAAAAGAAAGAAAGAAAAAAAAGTATCAAAATCTGAATAGGGTCCTAAAAACTTGGGAAGCCCTTTTTTTTTTTTTTTTGCAAAGGCAAAGGCAGATTCAGGTCTCCCATGTGGGTGACAGGAACCCAGTTACTTTAGCCATTATTGTTGTTTTCCAGGGTTTGCAGGAAGCTGGAGTCAGAGGCAGAAATCAACCCAGGTACTCAATGTGGGACACAGACATCTTAATCATTAATTAAGCTAAACACACCCCCAAGACTTCATCTTTATCAAAAGCCAGCTTAAGTACAGCTTTCAAGAATTTGTTTAAAAAAGGAAAAAGTATACATTTTAACACATTTCTAGAGAAAAGTAGAAAGCCCAATGTTCCAACCTCTTGGGCCTACAGAATGGCTAAGAACTGAACTGCAAGGTAATTGGGCATTAACTTATTTGTTATTAGAAAGGCAGTTACAGAGAGGGTGTGTGTATGTGTAGGAGGAAGGGAGAGAGAGAAAAAGGAAGGGAGGGGGCGGAGGAGAGAGTGATGGTGGTGGGGAGGAGAGAGAGAATCTCCATCTGTGGATTCACTCCTCAAATGGCTACAATGGCTGGGCCAGGCTAGTCAGGAGGCTAAAACTCCATCAGTCTCCCATATGGGTACAGGAGCCCAAACATCTGGACCATTTTCCACTGCTTTTCATGGTGCATTAGCATGGAGTTGGATCAGAATTGAAGCAGCAGGGTCTCACACTGGTGCCCATAAGGGATGCTGGCATTGCAAGCTAAGGCTTAACATACTACACAACGCCAGACCCAGGCAGTAACTTCTGAGCAAAGACAGATTCCCAGTTACACCTTTTCCAGCACTCACCACTATTCGTCCTCCCCTTCCAAACAGCTAAGTATCAAACATATAGCACACTCGCCTCCTGTATCAGTGAGTCATGGCTACTCCAAGCCTCCTATCCAGCTTCCTGCTAAAATACCTGGAAGGCAACAGATGATGTTCCTGCCACTGACATGGGAGAACTTGGAGTTCCTAGTCCTGCCTAGCCTAGCTCTGACTGTTGAAGGCATTTAGGGGAGCAAACCAGTGGATGGAAGATCTCTCTTAGTGCGAAGACAGGAGCCAGCAATTCTACCTGCCTCCCATGGGGGTGGCAGGAGCCCAAGCACCTGGGCCGTCACCTACTGCCCGCCAGGTGCTTTAACAGGAAGTGAAGGAGCTGAGACGTGGTGATGATCCCGGGCGTTCCTTTATAGGACGCAGGCATCCAAGTGACGGTTTAACACACTGCACCACAACACCAGCCCCAAATATGTAGCATTAACCAAGTCAAAATACAGAATTTCCAAACCCAAACTAGCACCAGAGGATGGCCTAAGATATTTTAGATCAGAAAAACATCTTTTCATTGGAAACAAAAAAACAGCCCAAGTGTTATATTTAAGAGGCAGAGAAAGACAAACATTCACTGCCTTGACCTAGGCTTCCTACATGGGTGTCCGCAATGGACACAATTTCTGGAGGCATTCCACACTGCCTCTCAGGGCCCTTGGAATCAGGAAGCTGGGGTCAGGAGGTTTAAGTGGGTACTGAACCAAGGTACTCCAATATGGGCAGTCTTAAATGCAAGGCTAGTTACTCTTAAGATTTATTTATTTGAAAGGCAGAGTTAGAGAGAGGTGGAGAGAAACAGAAAAAAAAAGATCTTTCATCTGCTGGTTCATTCCCCAAATGGCCACAACAGCCAGGCTGAAGTCGGGAGCCTGGAACTCCATCAGTCTCCCAAATGGGTACAGGGGGGCCCAAGCCCCCGGGCCATCCTCCGCTACTTTTCCAGATTCATTAGCAGGGAGCTGGAATGGAAGTGGAGTAGCTGGGACTTGAACTGGCACTCCTATGGGATGCTGGTGACAAGCAGCAGCTTCACCTGCTGCGCCACACAATGGTGGCCCCCAAGGCTTCAGAAATTCATTTCCAAATTTCAACTCCAGCCAACCAAAGTCCAGCAATTAAAAGCATGCACCAAATAATAATTATACATTCAAGGGAAATAAAACTATCAAATACTGTTCCAAGAGCTCTATGGTGAGCCACAGTGGGGGGGGGGGGGATGGATGTAAAAAAAAAAATAACAGTAATCCAAAAGAAATTATACAAAAAGAACACCACGGTATCTGTGAACTGTTTTAGGTATCCAAAAGAATTCAATCAATAATCAGTCTTGTCCCTATCAAGGAAAACGCAAGTACAGACAAATGGTTGTGGTATTTATTTCCAACTTTTTAAAAAAAGGTATGTAAATCTACGTGGAAAATTAGGTATGATTCCTAGCACCAGGAAATAAGCAGTGTGCCTCCTATATGCTGCAAACTCAAATATTTTCTCCTCCTCCTAGATGTTGTCTAGAACACTTAAAATGTGTTCTTTGGAGTATCTGACCACTGTTAATCTGCAGAGAAAAGTCCCTGACCATTAATACTGTGAACCTTCATTTTGAGTTAAAACTAAAACAAAAAGTGCTTCGTAATTTTTTTATTGATGGCATTTATCCCATGGTTTAACATGTTAATTATACTGTAATAAACATGGCTTTAATATTAAACTTTTCCTTATTATCCAAAGTCACCACAGTCCATTTCAGTAAATATAAAAATATATGCTTAATACTTTGTACAATACTGGTTTTTGGTCCAAATAAAACTGGATCAGAAAAGCCAATAAATTCAACTTTAAGAATCCCCAATTTTTTTTTAAAGATTTCCAAATGGATTTAGGCAACTTTGAATAATGGGATTTACATAATAAAATCTGAGACAAGACTAAACAACAACGAAAAAAATTCTAACACAAAATTAAAATTTCAAGTTCACAGACTTTATGTTATGCCAAAACAGTACAGAAACAAAATTGTATTTACACAAGTTTCATAATAAAATAATGAAAAAGGCAAGACAGGCGATAGTTAGAGGAATGAAAATAGAGAAGTAGCATATAATTATTAAATGTAGGATGAGTGAGATCTAACAAGTCCTCAGCATGGACCACTCTTTTTAATCAGGCTTCCTCTATCAGAAAATTTTAGTGCACGATACACCCGACGCACTCACTTCACACACATCAGCACAAACTCGGCATAGAAATCATTCATTTCAACATCCTCTAATCTACACAGAATCCTAATCTATACAGAATTCCTCAGATATAGTTACAATTTCAATGTGTTCCATAAACGCTTATTAATGCACATGGCGGTGCACACGAAGAGGTTCTATACAAAGCCATTCACCGTGCAGGCTCTATTCCTGGGTACAGCCAGACTACGCCAAATCAGTGAATAATTTGCTGGATCATAAAATATTTTTGCTGAAGAATCAGTCACCAGTCTAGGTATTATTTTTTTATAAGGAAGTGGCAGAGGCAGGGGTAGGGCTTCCATAAAGAAAAGGAGGAAAATTCCAAAATTTAAGAAGTCCTTAGGCAAATCTTAGTTCAGATAACCCCAGCACACAGTATAATCCAGTATCTGAAAGCAGGACACCAGCTGTTGCCAAACTGTTGCACGTAATACCATCGTGACCTTTATTTCTTTCGTCTAACAGCAGTCTTTATCTTGCGACCAGAAACTGAAGTTCCAGAAGACGAGAACATGCTTTTCCCATTTGACCTTTGAAAAAAAAACCTCACGTGACACAATGACCAAAGCAAAATTCCAGAATCATTTAACATGATCACCAATAAGGGGGAAAAATAAGACTTATGTTGTTAAAGAAACACATTTTCTACTATTATACCTAAGCAAACCCATTATTGTTAACTTCTCAGGCTTTATGACCCCTCAAATTACAGTGTGATAAACTGATGTGGGAGAACACATTTCACTGCACCTTGATGACTTTTAACAGCAAAACATACATCAGGCCGGCGCCGTGGCTCAATAGGCTAATCCTCCACCTTGCGGCGCCGGCACACCGGGTTCTAGTCCCAGTCGGGGCGCCGGATTCTGTCCCGGTTGCCCCTCTTCCAGGCCAGCTCTCTGCTATGGCCAGGAAGTGCAGTGGAGGATGGCCCAGGTGCTTGGGCCCTGCACCCCATGGGAGACCAGGAAAAAGCACCTGGCTCCTGGCTCCTGCCATCGGATCAGCGCGGTGCGCCGGCTGCAGCGGCGGCCATTGGAGGGTGAACCAACGGCAAAGGAAGACCTTTCTCTCTCTGTCTCTCTCTCTCACTGTCCACTCTGCCTGTCAAAAATTTAAAAAAAAAAAAAAAAAAACATCACATACCTAAAATAATCAATGTAAATTTCCCATTTCACCAAAACGTTCTCTTACCCCACTGTAAATGTAGCTTGAGACGGGTTAAAGGGAAAGCTCCCGGAGCCTGACGGCTGGGTGGAGGCTGCAGGTGTGCTAAAATTTGCACCAAATGTGAAAACTCCTGCTGGATTATTGCTTGTGAAGTTGAAATTTGCCGTGCTGCTGCCAAATTGGAAAACCGAATCTATAATAAAAGCAAAAAGCACTTCATTAAGGCAAAAATGACAGCTTTTTCAGTAACAACTCTGACCTCAACATACAAAAACATGTAAAAGTGTTAAGATTTCTTACCATTACTTTCTAAAGAAAAATGAAGTATTTTCTCTGCTTACCCAAGTACATACTTGACACCTCCAAGTGATGGTACAACTTACCCCTGACCAAGGAAAAAGGGCAGAGTGGACTTCTAGTTAGAGGGAGCAGGACCAACAAACACATTTAGCTCTATCTTCTTTGAAAAGTGGATTAAAAGGAATTTCTTTTTTTTAAACAAGGATGAGGGGAGAGGAGACAACAGCAACATTAGTTTAGAAGCTGACTGAAGCTGAGTACTAAACCAGCAGCAGAGAAAGCACAGAGCAGTTTCGTGTCCACTACACACACCCCAGAAATTTATGTTCCAGGTACCTCTGAAGGGAAAATGAAGATGGGACTTCAAAATAAAAAAAAATAAAAGCCGGCGCCGCGGCTCACTAGGCTAATCCTCCGCCTAGCGGCGCCAGCACACCGGGTTCTAGTCCCAGTCGGGGCGCCGGATTCTGTCCCGGTTGCCCCTCTTCCAGGCCAGCCCTCTGCTGTGGCCAGGGAGTGCAGTGGAGGATGGCCCAGGTGCTTGGGCCCTGCACCCCATGGGAGATCAGGAAAAGCACCTGGCTCCTGGCTCCTGCCATCGGATCAGCGCAGTGCGCCAGCCGCAGCGTGCCGGCCGCGGCGGCCATTGGAGGGTGAACCAACGGCAAAGGAGGACCTTTCTCTCTGTCTCTCTCTCTCTCACTGTCCACTCTGTCAAAATAAATAAATAAATAAATAAATAAATAAATAAATAAATAAATAAGAAAAGGCAGTCGAATAGCTGTTTAAGAAGCAGATACCCAGATCAATCCCTCCCAAATCCTCTTCTATACCTCAGTCAAAAAGGTTTAATCTTTGGAAATGTCTTTGGGCTGGGGGGACACCATGTACAGGTAAGGGCAAGAACATTATACTGAAAAAAAAAATTTTTTTTTAAAGATTTACTTATTTATTTGAAAGTTACACAGAGAGAGGAGGAGAGGCAGAGGCAGAGGGAAGGGGGGGGGATGGGAGGGGGTCTTCCATCTTCTGGTTCACTCCCCAGTTAGCCGCAACAGCAGGAGCTGTGCCGATTTGAAGCCATGAACCAGGAGATTCTTCCGGGTCTCCCACGTGGGTGCAGGGGCCCAAGGGCTTGGGCCAGCTTCTACTGCTTTCCTAGGCCACAGCAGAGAGCTGGATTGGAAGCGGAGCAGCTGGGACTCGAACCGGCACCCATATGGGATGGTGGCACCGCTACACCACAGCGCCGGCCCCAAAAATGAGGTTTTAAGAGTAGGCTGATACAATGAATACCAAGAATGCCAGTCATCCTCCCAACTCAGCTTCCAGAAACACCAGTAACCAGGAGTTCTCGGATACCCTCCACACAGGAGCCTGGAAGCCTCTTCTCTGGGTCCTCTGACAGTCTAAGGGGAAATACCTAAAGATACTAACATCCAGCTTTTCCCAAATAAAAGATAGTGTAAAGGTGAAGTTCAAAATTGCTAAGCCTTATCAACACACAAAGGCTTTTGTTATTCAGGTCCTATTGTCCTGAGGAGCACCACATATTTGAGGACAATACTTAATAAAAAAACACTGAAACCAAAACAATGAGGGAGAAAAATAATTCGCAGCAAACTAAGCAAGGAATCACAACTTTAAGGAAAAAGAAAAAACAAGTGGGCACAGTAGCATAGTTGGTTAAGTTGCTACTTAGGACACAACTTCCCATAGCTGCATGCCAGTTTGAGTCCTGGCTACTCTGTCTCTGATCCAAATTCCTGCCAATGCACCTGGGAAAGCAGGAGATGATGGCCCAAGTACTTGAGTCCCTGTTACCCACATACAAGACCCAAATGGAGTTTGGGGCTTCTGGCTTCAGCCTGGCCTAACCTGGATGTGTACTCACTCTCTCCCCCTCTCTCTGTCATTACCTTTTTTTTTTTTTTAAAAGATTTTATTTATTTATTTGAAAGAGTTACACAGAGAGAGGAGAGGTAGAGAGAGAAGGTCTTCCATCCATTGGTTCACTCCCCAGTTGGCCACAACGCTGGAGCTGCGCCGATCAGAAGCCAGAAACTTCTTCTGGGTCTCCCGCATGGGTGCAGGGGCCCGATGACTTGGGCCATACTGCTGTCCCAGGCCATAGTAGAGAGCTGGATCGGAAGTGGAGCAGCCGGGTCTCGAACCAGCACCCATATGGGATGCCAGCACTTCAGGCCAGGGCGTTAACCCACTGGGCCACAGCGCCGGTCTCCCTCTGTCATTACCTTTCAAAAAAAAATAAAAAATAAACAGATCTTTAAAAAAACAAAAAGCTCATCAATATAGATATCATCACAAGATCAATATAGGGCCACTGTTGTGGTATGGCGGGTAAAACCACCACCTATGATGCTGGCATCCCATATAGATCAAAACCCCGCTGCTCCACTTCAGAGTCAGCTCCCTGCTAATGTGCCTGGGAAAAAGCAGCAGCAGGTGGCCCAAGTGTTTGGGTGCCTGCCACCCACATGGGAGACCGAGATGAAGCTCCTGGTTTAGGCTTGGCCCAGCTCTAGCCATTGCAGCCATCTGGGGAGTGAAGGAGTAAATGAAGATCTCCCTTTTTGTCTCTCCCTCTTCTGCATCTGTCACTCTGCCTTTCAACTAAATCAATAAACCATTTAAATAAACATTAAATATTAAATATATGATTATTAAAATAGAAATATAAAATATAGCATAAATATATAATATGTATATTATATACATGTGTATGAATATATGAAACATAATTAAATATAAATATAAAATAAAGTATATTAGATAAATATTAAATAAATATAATATTATATTAAATATTAAAAGATCAATAAACATTATAGCCATAAAACAAAACCAGAGGAATTATAAAAAGGCAGTATCACAGAAACAAAAAGGCACACAGAAATTAAAAATCCCAACAGTGGAAGCACAATTGTGACAGAAGAGCTGTTAAGATAAAACGAATCTCAGAAGGGACAACAAAAGACAAAAGGTCTAAGAGGGGAGAATTAAGAAAATGACAACAAGGGACAAAAAGATTCAGAATTCCCAAAAACTAAATAAAGTTCACAAAAGAGCATGCATGTTCCCTATGTATAAAAATGGACCTGGGGCTGGTGCTGTGGCGTAGTGGGTAAAGGCACCATCTGTGGGGTTGGCATCACCCGGGTGCTGGTTTGAGTCCCAGCTGCTCCACTACAAATCCAGCTGCCTGTTCATGTGCCTGGGGAAGCAACGGAGGGTGGCTCAAGTGTTTGGATCCCTGCACCCACACAGGACACACAGATGAAGTTCCCGGTTTTAGCCTGGCCCAGCTTAGCTGTTATGGCCATGTGAAAAAAAATCAAAAAAAAAAAAAAAAAAAAGAGGACCCAATAAGCATAGCATGTTTGACCATGCCAGAACATCAGATTTCAAAAAGAAATAGGTCAAAAAGCAAAGACCAAGGAAGACTTCAACAGCAACTCTGAAGGCCAGAGATGTCATAATGGAGAAAACCCCTCAAAAATTATACTGAAATCTACGTAAATGTGGGGACAGAATAAAGAAATGCAGAAAAGTAAAGCCTCTTCCCTAGACCCTAAAAAAAAAAAAAAAAAAAGAAGAAGAAGAAGAAGAAGAAGAAAAAAAAAAAGGCAAGGGAGACAACGTGACACCAAGGAAACAAAAGTTCCTTTGTTAAGTTAAAGGCAATCTCCACAGTATTGGTAAGAGATCCCCAAATCACTGTTTGATGGCAGGCCTAGAAAGTCTGGTGAGAGAATCGGGATAAAAGACCCTGTGAGAAAGTGCTTTCAGATACTGGAAAATAGCCAACGTGTGTGTCCAAGTGCTGAGGAGATTTACACAAACAGTATAAATGCAGAGCAGTTGTTCCTAATAGCTAAAAACAACTCATACTTCTATCAACAGGAAATGGAAAGACTGTAATATTTATGCAAGGATTTGCTCTACAGCAATGACAATGCAATAACACGGATGATGAGTCTTACAAACCTCATACCGTTAAAAAAAAAAAAAAGCTGTATCTAAGATTCCATTTCTGTACAAAAATCAAGCAAGACCGTATTTTTCTAGAGGTGCATATATCAGTCAACTTAAAGCCCAAAGAACAATGCTTAATATAAAAGATAAGACAGTGATCACAATTAGAGTAGAACAGGCATGTGGCTGAAGAGGAGTATATCAAGAGTTCCCAAGCAGCATTTACACAGCATTTGGAGTCATCATTTTACTGTTCATTGAGGATTTAATGACCTTTTCTATACGAGGCTATACTTCACACCAGAAAAATACTAGGGGTGGGGCATTTGGCACAGCAGTTAGGACACTACTTGGGACACCTCTGTCCCAACTGGAGAGCCTGGTTTGAGTTCCAGCTCTGCACTTGATTCCAGCTTCATGCGAATGCACACCCTGGGAGGCAGACTGAAGTACTGAGTCCCTGACATCCATGTGCAAGCTCCACACTGAGTTCCAGGCTCCTGGCTCCTTGCCTAGCCTCAGCTGTTGTACGCATTTGAGAAGTGAATCAAATAAATAAATAGGGATTTCTAAAAAAGAGAAAAACATTGGAGGCCTCCTCAGGTTAATCCACTGCCTGGGACACCCACATTCCGTATCAGAGTGCCTGGGATCAAGTCCTGCCTCTGCTACCAATCCAACTGCCTGATAATGTGCCTGGCTCCGGACAGTGTGCCTTGGGAAAGCAGTGGAAGATGGCTCAAATGTCTGGGCCCCTGACACCCATGCGGGAGACCTGGATAGAGTTCCAAGCTCCTGGCTTCAGCCTCGTCTAGCCCCAGCTGTTGCAGCTGTCTGGGGTTGGGGGGAGAGAACCAGTGGATGGAAAATCTCTAACTCTTGTCTTTATAAAATATTTTTTAAAAAGTCAGAATAAGAAAGAAATAAACCCGTAAAACACAATTCATTACCTTAAAAAGACTGATTGTGTGAAATTTAGGAATACTGTTTATAGGTACAACTAAACATATACCTCTCTACTCTGCCATGTACAAGAGATATTAATAATTTAAAAAAATACCATATGCATGGTTTCAAAGTTAAAGGACAAATTTGACTTTTAAGATACACAGAGCCTAAGTTATATGAAACATGCATCACTGAATACTTACTAGAATTGGGAGCTGTTCCAGAGCCAAATGTAGACTGACTAGGCTGTTGTCCAAACACAGGAGGCTGGCTACTGCTTGACACTGCTCCAAAAGTGGGTTGTGCAGGCTGAGAAGCCGCAGAAAACAACGCTGTTGAAGATATAGATCCAAAGCCTGGGGGATTAGGCTGGCTGGCACCTTGACTTTGTCCAAATGCTGGGGTCTGGCTAGCACCAAATGCTGGACTGGCAGATGGTGCTGAAGCTCCTGTACCAAATACAAAGGAGGATCCTGGAGGCCCAAAGAAACACATCACCATGATGTAGCTGGCTACAGGCAGGTAATTCTGAAGACATTTCTCTAAGCCCACAAGCAAATTTCATGCTTCTTTTCAAACTCTGACCCTGCTAACCAAATTCCATTAACAGAAATTTCGAAAATGATTAAGAAATTAAGAATCTAACTTTCTCTACCATTATTTATAAAACATATAAACAACTCCAATTAACATGACTCCTCACCTTCACAGGTAACAATTTTTGGTGACAGGATATATGTACAGAAATAAATGTCTAATGGTGTACATATGAACGTATTGTACAATGAGAATTGATGTAATAAAACACTCAGTTATGTGGTTACTTACAAGTTAACATGTCAAAAAGAAAACATGAAAACAGTTAAATACTACATTCTTACACAGATCAGAAAAACTGTTCCCTAGAGATAAATATATTCAACCTGAATATACAACGTACACCTTCCCACATTAGTCTAACATCCCAGGTATAGATGACCTAAAGGTACTGATGCCATTTTAGCACAGTGACACCTGCTGTATCATCTGCTAAAATGTGACACACTCGCAATGAAAGCCAGTGCAACTATAATATGTGTTTTTTCTATTTTGTAAAAGTACCTGCTGAGCTAGACGTGGTGGTAGCTCCAAAGGCGAAGCCAGAGGTTGCAGCACTGTTACTGCTGGTGCCTGAACCAAATACAAATGAAGTGGCAGCGGTACTCGTGCTGGATGTGGTCGCTGGTTTGCTATCTTGAGAGAACAGCAAAGACTGAGATGTACTGGGCTCAGTGGAGTTACCAAAAGCAGGGCTGCTCACGGGATTGCTGGACTGTCCAAACACGAAGGCAGTCATAGGCTGACTGGAGGAAAAGGTGGAACTACCAAATATGCCACCACCAGCAGAAGTAGCTGGTGTACTTGAACTCGAAGAATTGTTCAAGAAACTAAAAACTGGTTTTGCTGTACCTTGATCTGTAATATAGAAATTAAGAAACAATCCTTAGGAACAAAATAATTTCAGAGAGCATTTTTTCCTACCCTACAATCTATAAATTCATTAAAAAACACAGCAAGTTTTTAATACTGACTTTTGAATCGAATGGACATCTGTTATTATTAAATGTGTAGATGGTCAAATATGAGGGCACTTTAAACTGCCAATAACAGCACCCCATATGGATACCAGTTCAAGTCCCAGCTGCTCCACCTATGATCCAGGTTCCTGCTAATGCACCTGAGAAAGCAGCAGCAGATGGCCCAAGTACATGGACCTCTGCCACCCACACTGGAGATACAGATGAAGCTCTTGGATCCTGGCTAGTCTGCCCCAGTGCCAGCCGCTGCTGCCAATTTGGGGAGTAGACCAGCGGATGGAAAAGATGTCCTTCTCCCCTCACCTCCATTTTTTTTTTTTTTTTTGAAGTTAATTCAGCAGAAGTTGGTCCAAGTATGTGAGTCCTGTCATCCTTTAGGGAGATCAATATGGAGTTCCAGGCTCTCAGCTTTAGCCTGGCCCAGTCCCTGCCATGTGGTCATTTGGGGAGTGAACCAGCAGATAGAAGATCTCTTTCTCCCTCTCTCTTTTTGTTTCAAATAAGTAAGTAATTCTAAAACAGGACTAGAAAATGTGTATACTGGTACAAAAATTTTTTGAATACATAATTTCTTGGCGATATGCATAAAGGCAGGAATCCAGGTCTCTCATGAGGGTGTAGGGGCCCAAGCACTTGGCCATCCTCTGCTGCTTTCCAAGGTGTATTTACAGGAAGCTGGATCAGAAGTTGAGCAACCAAGACCAGAACTGGGGTGCCAGTACTGCAGGTGGCAGCTTAACCCACTGTGGCACAGTGCTAGTCCCTCGGTGAAATTTTTGTTTGTTTGTTTGTTTGTTTTTTGCCTTGTGAACTTTTCCCAATACTCCTCCTGTCGAATTCCTTATTCTTTTGTAAATTTTTCTGAGTACTTCCAATTTTTTTTTTTTTGAAAGGTGTACTTATTTTGAAAGTCAGAGTTACAGAGCAAGAGGAAGAGTGAGAGACAGACACATGCATCTTCCATCTGCTGCTTCACTCCCTAGTTGGCAGAAGCCAGGAGTCAGAAATTTAATCCTCGTCTCCCACATGGGTGGCAGAGGTCCAAACACTTGGGCCATCCTCTGTTGCTTTCCCAAGCACATTAGCAGGGAGCTGGGTCAGAAATGGAGTAGCCAGGACTTGAAAATACCCATATAGGATGCTGGAGCTGCAGGCAGCAGCCACCCTGAGAATGACTTTATTTCAATAACCATGCTTTTACTTTTTCTTCAGGATTTTAGTTTTCAAAATCACCTCTGTCGTCTCCGTGATTAATAAAATTTGTCGGTGATATTCCTTAAATATCTGATGACCGGTTATATCCAACTATTTGTAAATGAAGGCTTTATATATTATATATTACACTCTAGTTTACTAGCTCAAGAATTTCTATTTTCCTGAATAGTATACGCGATATAACTGTCAAGGAAAAGGAAGAAAGAAATACACAGACCTGCACCATTGTGGGTTTTCTATCAGAACTCTATAAATAACATCATCAGAATGAGAGTTTAGAGCACTTACAACTGAACACCCTAGGCTCCTTCTCAGAGTTGCAGCTGGTACCCTGAACTGTAATCAGTGTAAACCATTCTCTGACCTGATGGATTTGTTGACACTTTGTTTTTGTTACCAAGAAAAAGAAAAAAAGAAAAAGTGTGATACTCAAAATACTCACCAGCTGTCGTACTGGTTTGAGCTCCAAAAGCAAAAGTGGTTTTTGCTGGCTGTTCAGCTTCCTTCTCAGATGTCTTTGCCATACTGAAACTAAATGTTGACTTCGAAGAACTCTCATCTTTGGTTTGCTCTGAATTCCCAAAGGAAAACAATGGTTGACACTTTGGCTCTTCTTTGTCAGCCTTCTTCCCCAAAATTAGAGAAGTAGAAGTGACAGGCTCTTGTTGTTTCTCTTCTGTCCGTCCCAAAGCAAACATTGAGGCAGATGGCATAGAGGCAGGTTCCATATTGCCAAAAGTAAACCCTACTTTAGGGGCAGGCATTTCTTCTTTCTTCGCTTCTGGTGTCTTACATGTGAAGGGAGTCATGGAGACACTCTTGGTTTCTATACTTCCAAAGCTGAAACTGCTCTTGTTCTCAGAGGTCACTAAGGTGTTAGAAGTGGCAGGAGTGGGGTTAACTATACCTGTAGCAAAACTAAAGTTTGCAGATGAAGATTTTGGAGGTTCCTCTTTCTTTTCTTGCTGTCCAAGATTAGACACTCCAAACTGAAAAGGAGCTGAAGAAGTTGGGTTGCTTAACCCAGAAGAAAATCCAAACTTAAATTTATTATCATTCTTACTGTCTTTCTTAACTTCTTCAGGTTTAGAATCAGATGAAACTCCAAATTTAAAATCTCCTACTGGTTTAGAAAACTTAAAACCTTCACTCAAGGGGTTTACAGACCCAGAATCAGATGATACACCTATTTTGAATCCACCCTGATCTCCAAATTTAAAATTTCCAGTGTTTGTTAAAGTTTGAGAAGGACCAGAAGAGGATGATGAGATACCAAATTTGAAGGGTGAGCCCGATGGGTTCGAAGATGAGGAGGACGTCCCAAGGCCTTCAAATAGAAAAACAGACATCATAAATACATTGAATAAATGTACTTATCCTCTCAAACAAAATGTAACCTTCAAAGCCAGAGTAGCAAAGGAGTAACTCTGAAATGGCAGTAAATGTGAACCATGCTGACCGATGTTCACACTGAGAACAGTCCTAAAAACTAAACTGACATGTCACTTTCCTATTATCAGACTGATCAAAATTGTTTAAAGTCTGATAAAGTTCATATTGGTGACCAGACTGAGAATAGGCACTTTCATATCTTGCAAGTGTATGTGTAAGTTGGCACAAAACTTGTGTGAGGCAGTCTGTCAATATTTACCAAAGTAACACACATACCCTTTGGCCCAGCAATTCTACAGCTGTGACTTTGTTTTAAAGGTAAACTCGCAGGCACATAAAACGCTATGTGCAATGTAGGCAGCTGTAAAGAATGAAAAATGAGGATATATCCACAAAAATCCATGATAAAATCAAGGGGGCAGAAAAGGAATATAGCATACCACCTTTGCTAATAAGGCAGTATGAAATGAGAATATAGAAGAATATAGAGAATATGTTGGTTGGGATGGGCATCAGGGAACTCTGAATTAGCCATAGCTATTATCTTTCGAGGGGAGAGGATGGTTACAAAATGAGTCCACGGGGGCTAGTGCTGTGTGACGCCAATATTCCCTATGGGCCCCCATTCGAGGTCTGGCTGTTTCACTTCCAATGAAGCTCCCTGCTAATGCACCTGAGAAAACAGCAGAAATTGGTCCAAATACTTGAGCGCTTACAACTATGTGGGAAACTCAGATAAAGCTCTTGCCTCCTGGCTTCAGGCTGGCTTAGCCCTGGCTGTTGTGACCACCTGAGGAGCCAACCAGCGGATGAAACATACCTGTCCCTCTCTGTGATGTTTTCAAATACATAAATAAATCAATAAATCATTTTTTAAAAAATTGAGCCAGGCCGGTGCCACGGCTCACTAGGCTAATCTTCCGCCTGCGGCGCCGGCACACCAGGTTCGAGTCCCGGTCGGGGCGCCAGATTCTGTCCCGGTTGCTCCTCTTCCAGGCCAGCTCTCTGCTGTGGCCCGGGAGTGTGGTAGAGGATGGCCCAGGTTCTTGGGCCCTGCACCCACATGGGAGACCAAGAGAAAGAACCTGGCTCCTGGCTTTGGATCGGCTCAGCACGCCGGCTGCAACGCACTGGCCGTAGCAGCCACCTGGGGGAGTGAAGTGAACCAACAGAAAAAGGAAGACCTTTCTCTCTGTCTCTCTCTGGCTAACTCTGCCTGTCCAAAAAAAAAAAAAAAAAAAAAAAAGAAGAGCCAATGGGGATAAGAGATGACTCATCACAATTTCTTTCTTTCAAAATATATTTGTGAGGTAGAAGGAATCAGGGCAACTGGTTCTACTCCACAGCTGGGGCTGTACACAAAAGCAATCCGGGTATATCCCATGTGATGACAAGAACCCAATTACTTGGGCTATCACCTCACAGGGTCCTGCCAGACTAAATGTCCACTCCCATTTTTTTTTTAATTTTTAGATCTTATATTCATTCAAGCATTAAAAAAGTGGCACCAAAATGTAGAATTACATGAATTGAAGCAGCCTTCATAAAAATAAATGTTATACTGTCAAGAACAAAATCTTGATTTCATAATTTCTCAACAGCTGAAGAAAGTAGAAATGAAGGGTTTGGCTCAAAACAAGAATCATTAAAAGGTACCAGATATTTATGTATTGCTCCCCTTACCCATAAGTAAAGAAAAATGACAGCAAAGTCTTGTAAGTCTCATCCTCATGTTATCCCATTGAAGATTACCCACCCACCCAACTTCCTTCCCTGAGAAAAATTCAGCTGCAAAATTCTATCAGAATCTCAGGAGCAAGTAGCTATACAGATAGCCTCTAAAATATGCTAAAGGACAACACACTGAAAGCTAAAAGCAAAGGAGCCAAAGACAAGAATTAACTCAGGGACAGCGTTGTGGCTTAGAGGGTAAAGCTACCGCCTATGGGATGTCAGCATCTTACATGGGTGCCAGTTCATGCCCTAGTTACTCCACTTCCAATTCAGCTCCCCACAATGGCCTGGAAAAAGCAGTGCAAAGATGGCCCAATTACATGGGCCCTGCTACCCACATGGGACACCTGGATATACCTCCTGGCTTGGGCTTGGCTCAAGCCCTGACCATTGTGACTACCTGGAGAGTGAACCGCAGACAGAAAACCTCAATCTCTCCCTCTCTGTTAATTCTTGCAAAAAAAAAAAAAAAAAAAAAAAAGGCACTAACTAGTCATCTAGTCATCAGCACTGCCTCAAAGGCTCCATGAGACCAATTTATAGCATGGTGAACCCCTTACCAAAGGTAGAGAAGGGGGAAAAGGAACTGTGAAGCAACAAACACCAAATGAACTAAAATGAATGGCAAAGCACAGCGATTTTTTCCAAAACACCCAGATGCAGTGGTTTTATAAACTGCCAGTTGTAGTCCATTTAGTCATCCAATTAATTTAGCAGGCTGCAAACAGCATTTTTCTTTAAAAAGGAAAGAGAACTGAAAATAGCAGGGTAATTTAAACATGCTATAGATAAGTATTATTTTGTAAAATTCTCATTCAATCACACAGGCAAATACACTGTGGGCAAAACATAAAAGATTTTTTTTTCTTTTGGTCTGCGAACAGCTTGAAAGCCAGGAGACCAAGGCAAATTACAAAGTAGATAAAGCTTAGTGTTTTTTTTTTTTTTTTTTTTTTTTTAAAGATTGATTTATTTGAAAGGCAGAATTACAGAGAGGAGGAGAGGCAGAGATCTTCCATTTACTGGTTTACAGCCCAAATGGCCACAACAGCCAAAGCTAGCCAAGAGCTTCTTTTGGGTCTACCACATGGATGCAGGGGCCCAAGCACCTGGGCCAACCTTGCTGCTTCCCCAGGCACTTTAGCTGGTAGCTGGATAGGAAGTAGAGTAGCCAGGACTCGAACTGGTGCCTATGTGTGATGTCAGCAGCTACCTGGAATGTCGGCATCGCAGGCCATCGCCTTTACCAGCTATGCCACAAGGTCAGACCTGTTAGTACTCTTCTTTTCTAAGATTTTATTTATTTGATAGGCAGAGTTAGAGAGAAATCTTCCATCCATTGGTTCACTCCCCAAAAGGCAGCAATAGTAGGAAGTGGGCAAAGCCAAAGCCAGGAGCTTCACCCATGTCTCCCATGTAGGTGCAGAGGTCCAAGCATTGAGGCTATCTTCTGCTGCTTTCCCAGGCACATTAGCAGCAAACTCAATCAAAGTGGAACAGTAGCAGATAGAAGACCTTTCTCTCTGTCTCTCCCTCTCTCTGGCAGTAACTCTACTTCTCAAATAAATAAATAAATAATTTTTTTTTGAAAGTCAGAGTTATACAGAGAGAGGAGAGGCAGAGAAAGAGAAAGGTCTTCCATCCACTGGTTCACTCCCCAATTGGCCGCAATGGCTGGAACTGTGCCAACCCGAAGCCAGGAGGTTCTTCCGGATCTCCCACGTGGGTGCAGGGGCCCAAGGACTTGGGATATCTTCCACTGCTATCCCAGGCCACAGCAGAGAGCTGGATGGGAAGTGGAGCAGCAGGGTCTCAAACCAGTGCCCATATGGGATGCCGATGCTTCAGGCCAGGGCATTAACCTGCTGTGCCACAGTGCCAGCCAATAAAATCTTTTTTTTTTAATAGCTATCAATTTTTAAAAAAAGAAGTGGAGCAGCTAGGACTCAAACCAGTGCCCACATGGGATGCAGGGGTTGTAGTCACAGGAGGCGGCTTTACCAGCTACACCAGCCTCATCAGTGCTTTGTTTTAATCCCCACAAATTCCAACCCGACAGGCTTACTCTTTTACAAATAAAAAATATGAACAATTCTTTTTCTGTCTTATACTCTGGGAAACCAAAGACCAAGCATGGGTTACTTATAACAAAGTCCAAGTTAAGAAGAAATTCAGCTCGGGGTTAATAGTTAAAAAGGGGGGCGTTGGTGTTGTGGCACAATAAGGCTGCTGCTTGGGACCTATGAATTCCACACTAGAGTGCCCGGGATTGAGTCCTGCCTCCATTTCTGATCCAGCTTCCTGTTCATGTGCCTGGGAAACAAGTGCTTGAGTCCTTGCCACTCACACGGAAAACCTAGAGTTCCTGGCTTCTGGCTTCTGCCTGGCCCAACCCTGGCTGTTACAGGCATTTAGGCAGTGAACCAGCAGACAAAAGATCTTTCCTTGTATGTCTGTCCCTCTCTTTCTATTGTTTTGTCTTTCAAATAAATAAAAAACCTTAAAAAAAAAAAAAAACACACTCAAACTCAGTAACACAAGAAAGTTTTTACTCATCTGCAAAAATGATCCCTCACTGCTGACGTGCAACTAGTTCGATCGTACAATAATGCAGACAGATGTGACCTGAAAACTCGGCACTTCATTTTACATGAATAATCTACAAACAAAAACTGTGCAAGTATTTCATTTCAAAAGGCATCACAAAGAGGCACTTTACCATCGCCTTACCTATAGACTCAGATTCTGTGCCCGGCTTTGCACACTTGCATGCTACACATTTGGTAGAGTCTGCTTTATTCTGTACTAGGCACACGTCACAGTCCCAGCTCCCCTCAGGTTTCTTGAACTTGTCCAATCCCAGACAACCTCCAGAAGACACAGGGACAGGGATAGTGCTGCTACTTGAAGCAGGTACAGAACTTCCTAAAAATAACAAAATTTATGAAAATTGTATTTTTGACAGCAGCTTAATCACATTTTTATTAACACTTCCAACTAAAACACACAGAAGTGTCAGAAATATGCATATTACATTGTTAGAAACAGGTCAGATATTTCAGATTTTCCTTAGCCTTATAATGAGCAGCTCCCACCAAGCTTGCTCAGTGGCTGAGATCCCTTGTAACCCAAAGTTTGAATTGCCCTGGTTTAAAAAAAAAAAAAAATCACCCTCATAAGGAGATTAGAAGGTTAAATTCTTAAGAATCTGTTAAACTTCAACAGCACAGCATTTTAAGGTAAGGCATAAGTGTAAATTGCAAGTGATATATAACACATAAAATTTACAGTGGACCAAGATCATTTCAAGATGTCAAAGAATAGGTTTCAGTACTTGAAACAATCATTTTTGTTTAGCAGTGTTCGTCATCCAATTCAATGCCACATCAACTGTGACACTCCCAATATTTATTAAGCTCCAAAACATACTTGGGGTCTGAGGACATAAAAAGGAATAAAATCTTAAACAGAACATAAAGGCATAGCAGCACCAAGTATAAAGAGGCAAGAAAAACATATAATTCAATATTTATGCAGAACTGGCATGTTTGCAGGGAGAAGTGGATTGTGTGGAAGAGTGGCTCAGCAAGTCACAATGTATAGACTGTGTGCTGAGAGTGGAGCCATACATTCCGGTATCCCTATCCCTTTAGAAGGTCTCCAATCATTTTATTGTCACTTTTTCCACAGTTAGGGAGCAATCTTTGCTAATTTTATAGGCAGGTTCTCTTCCACCTTGTCAACAAAACTGTTGACAATCTCTGGTCCACTGTCCCCTTCACACACTCTAATCTGCTCTGATGGTTTTAAATACCAAGAAAAGAGTTCCTAATCTGTATCTGCATCCCACACTTCTCTTCTGGGCATCATTACTGTAGTCTCCTAGTAGTTCCATTGTCCCATGGTTAGCATTCCTCTCCTTAAATTCAGTTTAACTTCTTTCTTTGGACCCTTCTACTGCTGTTCTGGTTCAAGCCCTCCTCATTTCTTGCTTTAATAACTGTTTTCTTATTGAGATTTCCGATCTTCTTCATTTTAAATGCATCCTCCTCGGAAGCAACCAGTGCATACAGCTCTTGTTTTTCCTCTCTGGTTGCTCTTTAAAAGATTAACTTTTATTGACGCTTATTTCTTCCTGCCACTCCCTGAAAGTTAGCAGAGTTGATTTAGAACCTCTTCTTTATTAACTTATTCACCTCTTCTCTCATGAATTCAAAAACCAAACTATGGGCTAATGACTCCCAAACCTTTAACTCTGGCCCAAAGGGTATCCAGAGGCCTTACATAATACTTGAGTGCAACTTCAACAGCCTGAAATGGACATGTCTTCAACTGTACATTATTCTATATCCCTCTCTGATATGCTCATCTGATTCCATCAGTACACATCATGATAATCCTTCACAACTACTACTGATAGAACTTCCTAATCTATCCTCCAATCTCCCAATTTAGTTGTTTTCAGGTTTCAGATCTCTTCCCCAAAACACTAGAGTGACTTACCAAAAACAATAAACTTGACCATATCATTTGCCAGCTGAAAATTATATTTTACAGGATAAAGTGCAATTTCTTTAGTACATATGAGTGGTTCTTGCATAACAATTTATTTCTTCCATCAACTCAGAATTGGTTTCCTGCATGCATCAAGGGCTTTCATTTTTTATACAAGGAGGGAGCACCAGATGGAAAGAGAAAGGTATCTCAGGTTGAAGTTTCTGAAATCTCTTATGTTGATGTCCAATAGGGATTAGGAAACATGGCTCCAGTGCTAAGGCAGGGGATAGCTAGGCTAATACCTCAAGAGCTTTACATTACGATACATCCATGCATAAAACAATAAAAACAGGAAGTATGATTCCCAGGACATCCATTGTTTTATTTAGTATCCATGTTACCATTTACCATTAGCTGTACTGTATAATTAAGTAATAATGTTACAAAACCAGCCAAGACTGAACCAAAGATTGAGGTGATTCTAATAATTCTTCCAACTTCTGAACAAAGGAAAACACAAAATGAATGCCATTTTTTTGGCTGCCTAAGTTAGAATTTTTTTCGCTGATGATTCAGCAATTCACTGCCTCCCTTGCAAATGGCCAATGGCGGTTTCTTCATTTCTACTTAAAAAAAGGGAGAAAGTAATGTTTTTGTCCATATAAAGGTTTCAGACTGCCACATTCTGAGATCTTTCAACATCCCTATCTGTCAACTTTCAAAATAATTCAGCAAAGCAACACACTGTTGATGAAACTGCACAGAAAGAGGTCAGTGGATACGTAGGACTCAACATAGAACCCATGCTAAATGAACATGAAGATCTAGCTCTCAGCAAGTAATTTAAAACAGTTTAGAAAAATTAAGATGAGGAAATGCTTATCTTGAAATATATAACATACTGCGGTGTCATTAGGTGTTTTACAGAGAATAAATTAAAATGTTCTACTAAAGGAATGAGCAAAATTATTCCACACAGCCATAAACATACCTGGTTTCTCAGACATACAGGACACACATTTATTGTCTTCTGCATTATTAGTAACACAGCATATTGGACACTCCCAAGACCCTACAGGCCTTTTGAATCTATCTCCAAATCCTAAGGAAACAGTGGTCACAGTGCAGCTGGAAGATGAAGCAGTCACAGTCACAGCACTTTCTGACGTAGCTGTCAAAGTAAGGGCGCGCCTCACACCAGTTCCAGGTTTTGGTGTTTCACAGGCTACACATTTTGTCGCTTCAGGTTTATTCTGCACCAAACATGTGTCACAATCCCAAGTTCCTACTGGTGGTTTAAATTTGTCTCCAAAGCCTGTTCCTGATGCAGGAAGAGTTGCTTTGCTGCTTTTGCTTGGTGTCCCAATTCCAGTCTGTTTAGCATTCTCTCTCGGTGGTGATTTTGCTGCTTGACAGGCTACACACTTGTTATCAGTAAGTTTGTTCTGTAGTAGACACGTATCACACTGCCACGATGGTGCTACTTTCAAATTTTCACCAAATCCACTTCCACTAGAAGAAAAGCTACTTATTGCTGGTCTTGTATAAACTACTGGGCTTGTTGTGGTAGGCTGAGCTGCAAGAGAATCTACCTTTGGTGATGTGAAATCTACAAGAAAAAGAGAGTAAGAACAAGAGTGTAAACACAAGAAGTTAGAGAGCTTTCTAATCAAAGCATTAACTGGAATACTTTTCATCCAAGAAATCATATTTATTAATCATGTAACTAGTAAGTGACATTTAGGCCTTGTTAAAACTCTACAAAAGATTTTGTTTATAATTTCTAAGAATTTATTGTTTGATGCTTTCAATTAAAAAGAAAAACAAAAAGAAAAGAAAACAAAACAAACAAAAAAAAAACAACCCTTCATTCTTATCTTCAAAGAACAAGAGCTCATTTTTCTTCTATACATACCCACGGTTACCCAATGGTAATTCAAACAAAACTATCACAATGTCTCAACAGAATCTAAGACAGCCATATACATTTCAAATATATCTGCTTTGTAAAAAATGCCTTTGTGCTCCCAAAACTGCTATTATTGAACTGATTAATCAACACTAGATTTTATTTGGGGGAATAACCCATTTAATTTTTTATTTAAGATCAATAAATTTTTTTAAAAAAATTTATTTGAAAGGCAGAGTGACAGAGAAGAAGAGACAGAAAAAGATCTTCCATCTGCTGATTCACTTTCCAAATGCCTGAACAACTGGGGCTGTGCCAAGCCAAAGCCAGGGACCCAAAAACTACATTAGGGTCTTCTATGTGGGTGGCAGGAGCCCAAGCACTTGGGCTATCCTCCTGCTGCTTTTCCAGGCATTTTATGCAGGAAGCTGAATCGGAAGCAGAGCAGCTGGGACTCGAACCACCACTCATATGAGATACTGGTGTCACACTCACTGTACCGTCACAACACCAGCCCTGAGACCAGTTAACTTTTAATTTTGCACACACCACCAGTGACCCATGTCTCTCACCTTAATAACCAAAAGAAAAGAAAAAGGGAAGATCACATTTCTTTTCCTCCCCACTTTTTCAGAATGTCTTGATTTCACTCAAATGAAGACTCTCCCAAATTTTTCAGACTTAAACAAGGGTTTGACATTATGAATACAAAGTGTAACCCTAGTATTTTTTTTTTTTTAAGAAAGATTGATTTATTTTATTTGAAAGAGTTACAGAGAGAGAGAGAGAGAGATATCTTTTCAATCAGGTACACTCCCCAGATGTCTACAACGGCCAGGAGCTTCATTTGGGTCTCCCATGTGGGTGGCACAGGCCTAAGTACTTGGGCCATCTTCCTATGCTTTTCTCAAGCCATTAGCTAGGAGCTAGATAGGAAGTGCAATGGCTGGGACTTGAACTGGCGCGCATATGGTATGCCAACATTGCAGGCAGAGGCTTTAATCATTATGCCACAACACCAGACGCAACACTAGATATACATGCTGCTCCACTCCCGATCCAGCTCTCTTCTGTGGCCTGGGAAAGCAGCAGAAGATGGCCCAAGTCCCTGGGCCCCTGCACTCACGTGGGAGACCTGGAAGAAGCTCCTGCCTCCCGGCTTCAGATCTGCGCAGCTCCTGCTGTTGCGGCCAATTGGGGAGTGAACCAGCGGATAGAAGACCTCTCACTCTCTCTGCTTCTCCTTCTCTCTCTGTGTGATTCTTTCAAATTAAAAATGACACCTGGAACAAAAACTTTATCCTTCTAAGTCATGCAAAAAAGCCAAATCTTATACTTAAATCATTTTACAACAAAGACATCTGCTGGGTAAATCTATAGTGTTCTTAAACTACTAGATTACCTATGAACATTTTGACATTTTTATGTTACACATCACAACTGAAACTGTGAACATATTTCATTTCTTCAAACTACTACCAACTAGCTTTCAAGCCTTGCTTCATTTCAGGTAAATACTTTCCTCTGGGCATATATGTTACAATTCATCAAACGTGGCCTTGTTTGGTATATACCAAACTGCAGAATAATTTGAGATGGCAGTTGAATGCTTTCATCAGAGGAACATGTGTGCAGGTACATCATTAAACTTATTTGCTTATTTCACATGGGCCTAGCTCTAATAACACATAATTCATTTTCTCCTGCCTTTGCCTCTTAGAGACCTCATGTTAGTGAAGTCCTTGAATAGCACACAAATTCCCACAAAAGAATTAATATCTACATAGCTACTTTGAAAAGTCCCCTCCTATCAGATTAGTCAGCATTTTTTTATAAAGTACAACACCAAGTGATATTAAAATGAAGTCCTGAGTTTGTATAATAAGATTTTTGATTATCACAAGAGCAGTCATTATCTTACCAGGGTTTTTCAGAAGATCTAGGACACTTCCCTCTTTCATAATTTTTGCAGGTCTAAAAGGACCCTCATAATCTTCACCTTGCCTCTTCATACAGATTGTACTGCTGGTCACTGCAGTGGTATCTTGAGCTGTAATTATTTTAATTATAAAAGCTATTATGCCAAGAAAAAGCATTGGACTCGAATTAATTTAGAAAAAACTTTCAAAGCGAACTCTTGGATCGATTTCTAAAACTTTAGTAAAAAAGCCACTTTACTGAACATACTGATAAAAAAAACCTGATAAGTAATTTCCAACTGAGCCAATTATTTCATTTCTAGAAATTTATACAATTTAAAATATCTTTCAATTATAATATTAAACACCTATGTGATAAAATGGTTAAAAATAAGGGCCTAGTAGTTACAAGAATCACAATAGTAACATAATGAAATGCTAGGTAGTCACAAAATAATCTTAAAAGCATAGTTTATGGGGGACAGCACAGTGGGATAGCAGGATAAGCTGCTGCCTTCAGTGCCAGCATCCCGTAAGGGTGCCCGGTTTGAGTCTTAGCTGCTCCACTTCCAATCCAGCTCTCTGTATGGCCTGGGAAAGCAGTAGAAGATGGCCCAAGCCTTTGGCCCTTGCACCCCCGTGGGAGACCTGGAACAAACTCCTGGCTCCCGGCTTCAGATCAACACAGCTCTGGCTGTTGAGGCCAACTGGGGAGTGAACCAGCTGATGGAAGACCCCTCTCTCTCTCTCTCTGCAACTCTTTCCAATAAATAAATATTAAAAAAAAAAAAAGCATAGTTATGGGTAAAAGGAGGTTAGAATAAGTGCAGAGGATTAAGAATATTCGTATCTAAAGATTAATGGTGGCTACCAATGGTAAAATGAGTGCTCATTATAGCTTTTATTTTTCATACTTTCCAAAACAAGCGTATCTTTGTATGTAACGTAAGCGATCTGGGGTTTTGGGTTAAAATGCCCATATCTCACATTAGAGCACCTCGGTTTGATACTCAGTTCTGTCTGCTGGCTCCAGTTTCCTGCTAATTTGATCCTGAGAGACTGTAGTGACAGCTCAAGTAACTGGGTTCCTGAGACCCCATGGGAGATGTGGATTTAGTTCCAGTCTCCTGGCTCTGCCCACACCTACTCCCTGCTGTCCCATTTGGGGAGTGAATCAGCAGACAGGAGCACGCAATAAAAGGGGGTTGGCATCATGGCATAGAGGTAGCTGCCTGCGGTGCTGGCACCCCATACAGACACTGGTTCAAGTCCCGGCTGCACTGTTCCACTTCCAGTCCAGACATCCTGGCTGCTACACTTCTGATCCGGCTCCCTGATAATTCACTTGGGAAAGAAACCAAAGATTGGCAAAGTAACTGGGCCTCTGACACCCACGTGGGGCAATCCAGAGGAAGCTCCAAGCTCCTAGTTTTGGCCTGGCCCTGCAACAGCCATTGCAGCCATTTGGGGGATAAACCAGTAGATTAAAGATGTCTTATAAATAAATAAACAAATGTTAATAATAAAGTAAAATAGGGGCTAGTGCTGTGGCACAGAGGGTTTAGCTGCTGCCTGCCAAGGCTGGCATAACACACAGGCACTGGTATGTATCCCAGATACTATACTTCCAATCCAGCTCCCTGCTAATGGCCTGGGAAAAGGAATAGTAGATGGCCCCAGTGTCTGGGCCTCTACCACCCACTTGGAAGACCCAGATGAAGCTTTTGGCTTCTATCTGGCCCAGCTGTTTTGGCCATTTGGGAAGAGAACCAGCAGATGGAAGATCTAATTCTGATTTTCAAAATAAATAAAGCAATAAATATTTAAATAAATTAATAAACAAAAGTTATGTAATATATGTTTCATCAATACAACTATGCTCCCCAAAATAAAAACCACTGTTCCTACAATTGTGTCAATAAAGAAAACATGTTTAATCACTTTATAATAGTCTATCCTCTTTATTGCTAAAACTTACTTGCTTTTAGTAAATTTATAGTAAATTTCTAGGATCCCTTTAAGTACGAAGGGACAGTAAAAGTAGACAATGGAAATGGGAGTTCCTGCCACAAATTAATCATGACTTCCACATTTTCAATCAGCTTTTCCAAAAGACAGAAGTGGTAAGAATCAGACCCAAATGTGTCAAGATGAGAACACTACTTCTATATAGCCAATTCAAAATCAACTCCTTAAAAATCTGGATAGGGGCCGGCACTGTGGTATAGAAGGTTAAGCCAACGCCTGCAGTGCCAGCATCCCATATGCCTGTGTGGAAGATCCCGAAGAAGCTCCTGGCTTCGGATTGGCACAACTCTAGCCACTGCAGCCATCTGGGGAGACCTCTGTCTCTCTGCCTCTGCCTCTCTGTAATTCTGCCTTTCAAATAAATAAATAAAAAAAAAAAAAAAAAAAAAAAAAAAAAAAACACCCACAATCTGTAGCATTTCCCAAGATGAACATAAAGCTTTTCTAACTATTTTTGTTCATTCAGTTACCATGAGTTAGTAAAAATTGAGATTTAGCTTTCTTTTATTATTTTATTTATTTGAAAAGTAGAGTTACAGAGAGAGAGAGAGGTCCATGCGGGTGCAGGGGCTCAAGCACTTGAGCCAACTTCTACTGTTTTCCCAGGCCAAAGCAGAGAGCTGGAGCAGAAAGAGGAACAACCAGGACCACCAACCAGCACCCATATGTGAAAATGGCACTGCAGGTGGAGGCTTAGCCTATTATGCCACTGTGCTGACCCCTGATGGTTTTCCTTAACAAATCACAAAAGTGGAAAACTGAAGAGTTTTATTTTTCAAGAATATAGTAACATTTAAGGAAAAAAGCATTGTGATAAGAAGTATGAGAAAAATTGAAACTGCTTGTTATTTTCTAATACATAGGGCTATTTTATCCAATAAATAGGACTGCACACAGGCCAGACAACTGTTATGTGAAGTTTCCATAAGCTATGTTCTAATCACTCAGACCATGCAAAACTGAGGAGGTCTTTCTAGCCTGGATACCTCAGCTTTTTTTCTTTCCTTTAGAGAGGATACAGTTTTCAAAAGCCCATACTCCTGGACAGGACAACAGTCCCCAACTGATGTTTCTGCCCATACCACCCCACATTGCCACCCACAGCATCACACAATACACACACCGTTGTCAGTATACTCTGCATCCAACTCACTCTTACATTAAAATCCCTCAACATGTCCCCCATCTTCAAAATAAAATCCAATGTTTTAACATGGCATTGCATTCAAGTTCTAGATTTTTTTTTTTTTTTTTTTTTTTTTTTGGACAGGCAGAGTGGACAGTGAGAGAGAGAGAGACAGAGAGAAAGGTCTTCCTTTTGCCGTTGGTTCACCCTCCAAAGGCCGCCAAGGCTGGCGCGCTGCGGCCGGCACACCACATTGATCCGATGGCAGGAGCCAGGTGCTTCTCCTGGTCTCCCTTGGGGTACAGGGCCCAAGGACCTGGGCCATCCTCCACTGCACTCCCTGGCCATAGCAGAGAGCTGGCCTGGAAGAGGGGCAACCGGGACAGAATCCAGCGCCCCGACCGGGACTAGAACCCGGTGTGCCGGCGCCACAAGGCGGAGGATTAGCCTAGTGAGCTGTGGCGCCGGCCAAGTTCTAGATTTAAAACTACCTCTTTAACCTACTGAAAAATTAGCTGCAATTCCCTAAGTATGCCATGCTTTTCTCTTGTTCCTATGCCATTGCACTTAGGTATTTACTTCTTGGGTAAAATACCCTTGCTCAAAATTCCTGGTTAGTCTACCAAGATTTTTCTACATTTCCCAAACACTAAACACTTAAAAAGAAAACCAAGAGTACTATTTAAAATATCCTATATTTTAATTAATCATTCATTTAAAGCCAATTTTTTTCAGTTTCAAAATTCTGAATCACTACCCAATATAATCACAAGCTTAACACTTACATTTAAGCCTGTGAAATGAACAGTAAACCTGGAGATGATATCACTAAATATAATGTTGATAATTTTTAAAATTCTAATAAGATCCCATTTATAGCAAACTTGTCATCTTGTTTTGACTTAAAAAAAAAAAAAAAGACAGTGAATATTCGCTGCTGTGGAATGTCCCTCTAAAAACCAAACTGTAAAATTTACATTTAGGAAGTTATTTTCACCCAAGAGAAGGCATTTAGAAGAATTACCTAAGATGTAAGGAATATCTGAATATACTAATCAAAAATATGCAACTGTTTTTATGCAAAAAATTGAGAAATTTTTACTTACCAGAACTATTTGTGATTGATTCGGAAGTACTAATAGAGCCAGTAAGCTCTGTTTTTGCAATAGGCACACTAAATGTAAATCCAATCTGCAAAGAGAAAACGTATCCTTTAAGTGTCAATTCAGTTTTAAACAAGTGTAAATATCAAGTGTAAATCTTATTTATAAGTCAAAAATTTAGGGGAACTTGAACATCAGACTTCTGTATTACTTGAATTTAAAAAAAAAATAATAAAGGCAATTCAAGAGACATGTTAAATACAGTATGATTTAGCTGACAGGATTCCAGTATTTAATTAGATCTGGAACCCACAGAAAACAAAACAGCAATTAAAGGATACTCTGGGAGTGCTAGTGAAATCTGAACATGGATTATATAATTATACCAATTATATTGTGTTGAATTTCTTAGGTATGACAACTGTACTGTAGGTATGCAAATGAATATCCTCCTTAGTGGGCACATGGAGAAATATTAAAGGAAACAAGATGCCTACATTTTAACTGGAGACAATGCATTTGCATATAGACACTATTACTCATTTAAGTTTCCTATACAATTAGTATGGTTTTAAGTTGGAAGAAAAATTAATGGTGTCCCTTATCACAAATGGCACTTTAGAATAAAAATACAAAATAGGTTTTAAATCAGTAAAATGAAATATTCCTTGCTTGCTACTTACAGATGTTGGAGGTAGTATATCTGCCTCAGTAGATTTTATAATTGGAGATGAGAATCTAAACATGGGACTGCCAGTGCTGCTGGGAGAGGTCATTTGTACCTGGTTTTCCAAACAATTAAGAAATGAGATCAAAATCATTATTCAGAAAAAGAAATTGGCACTAAGATAGATCTTAAATCAATTACCCTAAATCTTTACATTTAGATTTTAAAATCATTTTCATTTCTGAAAAACAATGAATATCCAATTGCTATAAAATCTGGCTTCCTGGAAGAGTACACGTAAACTAAAGGTAGATATTTGTCTAAGGGAGAAAAATAACATCTATAAGAATATATTCAGAAACAGTCAAGAAGAAAGAAAAATATTTCAGGAGTAGATTAAAGATGTGAAAACAAATTCATTCCTACTCACTTGGAAGATATTTAGCAACAAACTTAACCAACTCAATCTCAAATGCACTGCAATAAGTTAAACACCATTCATGATATTGGTACATATTGTAAAAAAAGCAAAACCCACCATTTCCATTTCTCTTTGCTAATCATGGAGTTACTAATTCTCAGTGTAAAAAAAAAAAAATCACTGCTTTAAGCAAGTACTAGACTCATAAGGAATAAGGACAAAAATCAACTACAGGGGGCCAGCACTGTGGCTCACTTGGTTAATCCTCCGCCTGCAGCGCCAGCATCCCATATGGGCGCCGGATTCTGTCCCAGTTGTTCCTCTTCCAGTACAGCTCTCTGCTGTGGCCCGGGAGGGCAGTGGAGGATGGCCCAGGTGCTTGGGCCCGTGCACCCGCACGGGAGACCAGGAGGAAGCACCTGGCTCCTGGCTTTGGGCCAGCGCAGCGCCAGCTGTAGCAGCCATTTGGGGTGTGAACCAACGGAAGGAAGACCTTTCTCTCTGTATCTCTCTCTCTAACTCTGTCAAATAAAAAAAAAATATTTTTTAAATCATCTATATATAATGGTTTGTACCTTGTTTGTTAGTGACTGAGAAGGATTGATGGGTGACAGAGAGGATGCTGTGCTCACAGGTGAACTAAAATTGAAGATAGGCAGTGAAGAACTGGCAATAGGTAGAGAAATTTTCGGCAACACTGGTAATTCCATTTCCTAAAAGAAAACATATTTCATCTTCACATCACTCTTTTATCTCTAATTATTTTAGAATTTAATTTAGAATAAAAAGGTGGCACCACACAGTGTTAACAATGTAGGCTCTTGAATTTAAAAAAAAAAAAACAAATCTGGCTAGGCCAGCAACCAGACATGACTTTAAGAGCCTAATTTCCTTGAACACCAATTTTTTATTCTATAAAAATAAAGAAAAATAATTCTTACTCTGGACCACAGTTAAATAGTATGAACCACGGTTATTTATGCTCATGCCCTGAAACATAAGCATTTAAGAAATATCAGTACTGATCAGTTGGTGGCTCTTCTTTATTTTTAATGCAATCAAGAGCAACGCAAGTCTACCATGACCCAGATTAAGAGCAAACAATTAAAGCACCTGCTTCTGCTAATGTTGGGAGAAGATTAGGTGTGACCAATGCTATAATAAACTGGAAAAATACAAAAGCAACCATCTGAAAACACTAGAGAGCAACCAAAAGCAAGCAGAAAGTGTTTACTTAGTAAAGAAGGGAAGGGAATAAGTGAGCTTCCTCAGCTCTTCATAAGCTAACGCCACCAGCAAGTTGAAATTCTGACAGAAAACTGCAAACCTTGTAGTTGATGGATTTGAGGACAATCAGAGGTGACCAGAACAGCTAGAAAATTAGGGGAGATACAGGAATGAAGTATCACAGAAGGGGAGTTTCAGGGTCTACACATGAATCACCCAAAGCACCTGTAGACCTACAGTCTACACAAGTCTAAGACAGATACCAAGTAATTCAACAAAACCAGAGTTGTAACATCTGCCTACTACACAGAAGACAGTTTGAGTTCTAGTAAGTTTACTACTAGCTGACACAATTTGAATATTTCAAATGGATGCAGCTTATTGTATATAACACACCTCAATAAGGCTGACCAAAAATCAAAGGCAAAATAAAGATACTTCATATAAAGTAAAACTAATAATCTATTGCCAGAAAGCTTACACTCTCTCTCTCTCTCTCTCTCACACACACACACACACACACACATATATACGAACTGTATCTAAATAAAGTTCCAGAACAAACAAAATGAATACATGGAAAAATGAAGACAGTGATTGCTTCCAGGGTAGAAGGTGATATGAATTGATTAGGAAGGACCATCAGTGAACTTTCTGGGGTGATGGAAATGATCTATATCTCACTAGGGACTCATGTTAAACAGGTGAAAGCATCTGTCAAATTCATTAAATGATACACCTAAGAATTTTATGTTTCATGATATGTAAATTTTTACTAAATTAAAAAAAAACATATTTAGTTCTAGCTCATACTATGTATGCTGAAGTAATTGGGTTTATAAAGTGTATGTCTTCAACTTACTTTGAAAAGTACTCTCCCACAAAAAGGATGGATATTTGATAAATATAACAAAATGTTAGAATCTAAGTGCTGCAGATACCTACTCACTGTATAACCCTTCCAACATTTCATATGCTTGAAATTTGTCCTAACAACTGGGGGAGAGGGTAAACAAAGGATGCATCTGGCTATTTCCATAGAGAAGTTTCCTCCTCTCCAACATCTAGACTTATTTTCTTGTCTTTAAAGCCCTGGAAACATCAATTATATATAAGCTATTATATAACATCAACTCATTAAGCCACACATGTGGTTAAACTGCTTCTTTATGTTATTGGCTTTGAACAAATTCTACAATTTTATTCTGACTCCCCAAAAGTTTGACTTAGTAGGTCTTACATGAGTCCTACGAAGAGGGAAAACAAAAAATAATAAAATAGTAATTCTGCTAACAGACACCTAGAGTTGAACACATCAATCAAGTTTCCTGAACACACCAATCATCAAATACTTTGTTAATATCTTTACAAGAACTATCTCACATGAGACAGATACTGTTGTTGTAAGACAAAGAAATTTTGGCAGATAGTATATGGCCCAATATCATGCTATTAAGTGGCAGACATTCAACAAACATAAGCTTAATGTATTAATTCTTTTTCTGATTTTGCAGACAAGGAAATTGAGGAAGTACAAAGAGGTTCATTTGACCAAGGTAACTCAGCTAATTTAAGTGATCAGAATGTATAACAATAGCAAATGATACAATCTTCCCAAATTCATTTTTATATATACTGCTTATCTACTCTGTGTCAATGAATTTTTCAATTATTAAAAAAGATAGGCTGGTATTACCACGGAAGCAAAATGCCAGTATGTTTGTCAACTACAACCCTCATAGATTCTGAAATCTAAGACAAAATGATTGCTAAAACACACTCATTATCTTACTGCAAAACAGGTTATTTTAAATATAGAATGCTATTAACCTCAAATTTAGTGAATCGAAATACATCAAGTTTCTGCTGAGTAGCAACAGTATCTGAAATTAGCATAACCTGTTTACATCCCGTTAAAAATAAATTTCTTCTAGTTGACCTTTCTGAAGATACTTCATAGAAAGGCCTTTTAAAATACTCAAAAGATGATTCTTCAATATTTCAGTAAAAATTCCCACTATAACTAACAGCTAGTGGTCTAAACATACTCAACCCCTGAAACAAAAAGGCAGCATTGTGTTCAAATAACTACTGAAGTATGTATCTAAACCTATTCTATCTATAAAAAATACAGAGCAGTCTAAAAATCTGGGGCAGCCATTGCATTCGCACCTCTTTCCTCAGAAATGTGGAGATTTTAACTCCAGCGTGGAACAGAACACAGATGGGAGGGGTTGGGTGAGGCATACTGGGATGTGAAACTGGCAGTTGGCTGTTGGCTGAAAATGGGGGTGGGGAGCAAGAGAAAGGAGGAGTCCTGTGATAAAGACATGGTGGGGGAGGTGTAACGTTTTGATAAAACTCTCCACAGTTAGTATACAGAAAGAGCAAAAATAAATCAATTAATACAATCAAATGTGTCCCACAATCACACTAAGCACATCTGACAGCAAAATTTAAGCTAAATACAAAACAAAGCTGCAGCTTAAGATCTTTTCTAAAGTGTAATTAATGAAGTCTATACAAAGAACTTTAACAAAAGAAAACTGGTTTGCTACAAAAATTAGAAAATGTTAAATACCGTATACATCAACGTCATTCAAGTCTGAAGTCTTCTTTCAAGATGGCAGAATACACCAATGAATTGTTTCCCTTCACAAAACTCTAGCAAAGTGACAGCAGAACCTATGGGAAAGACAGAGCCTCCAGCCTCTTAACATCTCCCCAAGTTTCACTGGCAAAGAAGGCTGTATGGCAGAAAAAGTCCAAACTGCCAAAGAAATCATCATTCTGTAATTGGCAAGGCTACTAATAACTAAAAGAAGAGAAAAAACTGAAAAGGGCCTCACACATTAACCAACCCTAAAAAGTAAAACACATGAAGAAACTCACACAACACACCCAATAACTTCAATCAACTATGAGTACATAGACAACAGAAGTGTTTTAAGAAACTAAAACTTTAAATGATCCAGCATGGCTGAAAATACAAGTTAAAAACATACAGAACTCCAATGGCACACCATGTCACATCCACCAGCTCATCTGGGAAAAATGGGAAAAATCAAGTACTGGTTTTCTGGATAAAGAAAAAATAGATCTACTATCACACAGAAGTATGAAATCACAAAACTACTTCGGGCAACATTGCATCATCTAATACACTGGAAACTATATACCAACCTACATAACCCAACAACTTGATTCCTAGGTAAATATCTTAGAGAAAATACTGCACATGTCCAGAGGGAAAAGTGTAGATATATTCATTTTAACAGGTAATGAGAATCAACGCAAATGTGCTCTGACAGCAGAATGGACTAACTGCAGTTTAGTAAACCTTCATACTGGATACACGTACAGCAGTTAAAGTGACCTACTGTAACCTTTTACAACACAAATCACACACACACCCAAAGGAGAAATCCCATGAATGAAGCATATGGCATTAATCCATCTTAAATATATAATCCATTTTATATATAACTTTTAATGACGTAATATACATACATTTATTACATATACTTCTAACATATTATCATATACATACCTTTATTACATATTGCATATTTTATATATATTTCTACAAAAAAAAACAAAACTACAGTAATACCCGAAGGGTCAAATAATTTCAAATGCAATTCACTTATTTGAATAATGGAGGTATTTTTTTTTGGGGGGGGGACAGGCAGAGTGGACAGTGAGAGAGTGAGAGAGTGAGTGAGAGAGAGAGAGAGAGAGAGAGAGAGAGAAAGGTCTTCCTTTTGCCGTTGGTTCATCCTCCAATGGCCGCCGCGGCCGGCACATCGCGCTGATCCGAAGTCAGGAGCCAGGTGCTTCTTCTGGTCTCCCATGCGAGTGCAGGGCCCAAGGACCTGGGCCATCCTCCACTGCACTCCCGGGCCATAATAGAGAGCTGCCATGGAAGACGGGCAACCGGGACAGAATCCGGCACCCCAACCAGGACTGGAACCCGGTGTGCCGGCACCGCAAGCAGAGGATTAGCCTATTGATCCGCGGCGCTGGCCTGAATAATGGAGTTTTGCTGTTACTTCTTTTTTTTAATGACACTCAAGAAATTTAAGATAAGAGATTTAGTTTTCTGGCACCCAAGGGACCATTTCAATGGAGCATTATCCTTGCTCTAGGGCTCCCCAAATGCCACACCTCCTAACTTCCCCTTACCACCACAAACTCACAGCTTTTAATAAACCTCATAGTTTTAAGTACATAAATCCTACCTCTTCCTCTTCTGGAGGTTTAGAACCAACAAAACGTGTTCTCTCTCGCCTCATCTTGCCACCTCCACCACGTACTGCAGAAGATAAACCATTGGCTGCTGGCATACTAAAATCTGGGTATGAAAAGCCACTAGCAAATAAAAAGAAAATTAACTAATGTATTATTCTGGTATATAACTTGTTACACTAATAAACATTATCAATTATTCAGCTAAATGATTTTAAAACTGACAGGCTATTTGTATAAAATTTCTACATGTTAATCATCTTAAATCTTCAAAAAATGTATCCCTAAATCAAATATGAGCCCAAATTAAATGTATAGTACAACTCTATGTGAAATGGCATTACCTTTCCTGTTTTTCTCCACTTTGTCCTGATGTCATGTTTTTTTCACGTCCAATCTAGGGGTGGAAAAAAACCATATTTTACATGCTTATGTGTCTTAGTTTTCTTAAAACTACCCTTCTTTGTATGAAGGTTAGTATTTGGAATGGGAAATTTGATGTTTTTTAAATTAATGAAATCTTGAATTTACAAGTTAGACTCTGCTTTCTCAATGATAATCAAAATTAGTGCAGGAATGTCATTGAGCACACCTGTACCTCTCAACAAAATGTAAGTATACAAAGTTAACACAATAGCCACAAAGGGACTTTTATGTATCTCTCTTATGAACTATTCAGTACACAAAGTTACAATGGTATTATTTTTGAAATTATCTTTCAAATCTTAAAAGTCTCTCCACTGAAAACAATCAAGGTTCCTTGAAGAATGGCTGGCTGCAGAGGGAAGGCAGAAAATGCACAAGATGAGCTGGAAATTTCCTACAATAGCAAAAGAACAAAGCCGGCGCCGTGGCTCAATAGGCTAATCCTCCACCTTGCGGCGCCGGCACACCGGGTTCTAGTCCCGGTTGGGGCGCCGGATTCTGTCCCGGTTGCCCCTCTTCCAGGCCAGCTCTCTGCTATGGCCAGGGAGTGCAGTGGAGGATGGCCCAAGTGCTTGGGCCCTGCACCCCATGGGAGACCAGGAAAAGCACCTGGATCCTGGCTCCTGCCATCGGATCAGCGCGGTGCGCCGGCTGCAGCGGCGGCCATTGGAGGGTGAACCAACGGCAAAGGAAGACCTTTCTCTCTCTGTCTCTCTCTCTCACTGTCCACTCTGCCTGTCAAATAAAAAAAGAAAAAAAACAAAATGCAAAGAACAGTGTCTAAAATGAGGATTTAATAAAAAATATTAAAGGACACAGGAACCAGCCCAAGGCAAAATAAGAGGTAATTTGAAC